TTCAGTTCCTCTCAAAGTTATGCCCGCAGCTCCATGATTTTGTCTCCTCTGATTATTCTCCAGACAGAATTTTCTTTAAATATCATTACCAGATACTTGTTAAGTCCTTTAAGATTCCTAAATTTAGATCATTCAAACCTGAGTTCTTGCCTGTGAGACTGATTTAAGTTCTTGTTTTATTTTTTGTCTTATTTTTTTATATTTTTATATTTTTTATATTTTGTCTTTTTCGTTTTTATCGGTACCAGAGATCGAACTCACGACTGCCTGCTTGCAAGGCAGGCACTTATGCCGCTGAGCTAAATCCCCAGCCCCAAGTTCTTGTACTTTCTAACCTAGTAAATAGCATCACACTCAACTAGTCACATAGTCAGAAACCAAAGACTTTCTATCCATCTTTTCTCTCTCTCTCTCTCTCCCTTTTTTTTGTACCAGGGATTGAACCGATGACTTTACATTTGCCAAGCATACACTGATGTCGCTGAGCTAAACCCCTGGGCCTTCTCTCAGTTTTGACAGTTACTTGCTTCTCAGATTGCAGTTTTGTTTTAAATGTTTCTTTGGTTTGTCTGTCTTTGGTATTCCCAGTCCATGACTCTTGTCATTCGGATCTTTATTACCTCATACATTAATTTCTAGGATTTTTTTTAACCTTCATTGTCTCTCTCATTCTTCTCTCAGCAGCTAGGAGAGTGATTTTTATAAAGCTTGGTAATCTTTACTGCTATGTCTAACATTCTTCAGTACCTTTCCATTGTCTTTATTAGTATTGTGTATATTTCTGGAGGATTTTAACTCTCATTGTCTTAACTGCATTTGGCATTTTTCTTTTCATACTACCTGGTTTAGCCATTCTGTCATACATACTTTTTTTTGAGTCTTGATCTCCTTTTGTAGCCCAAGCTGGCCTTGTTACTAAATTGAGAGTCTCAAGAAAATTCTTTCTAGGTTCCTTAACAAAGAATTGGACAAGGCACAGAGAAAAGGTAGCAGGATTTTAATGTCTAGTTTTAAAAAGCCCAACATATTGAAGTATACTTTATATATAATGGATTGTATTTATTTAAAATGTATGATTTGTTATGGCTTGTATCTAGATGTCCCCTTCCCACCCCCCGCCAAATACTCACATGGTCACAGGTCGAACTTTGAAAGTGGCTGGATTGGGTGTGTGAATATGAGTTAAGGATGTGGGTGATGGAGGCTCCACTTTGGATGTAGGTGGTGTCAGTCAGTGGGCTTGCAGCCTGGATGGACTATAGGGGACAGAAAGGGCTGCTGCTGCTGCTGCTGCTTGTTTGCTGTATTTTGCTTCCTGGCTGCTGCAACATGAACTGCTTCTCCTCTGCAATGTCTCTCTGCCATGCTGTGTGGCCTTGGAGCCAGCTGACTGTGGATTGAAACCTTGCAAACTGTAAGGCAAATAAAACTTTCATCTTTTAACTTGTGGGTGTTGGCTGTTTTGTTTCATCAAAGAGAAACATGAGGAAGACTTAGTTCGAGTTTTGACAGATGAAGATATTGATGAAATCAGTCCTGAATTATTTTTACACTTCATGCTTTTTGTGTTCATCTTCTTTTTGTGTCTTAGCTGTGGATTAAGCAGTCATTTTCTACTTTCTGTTTCTGTAGGTTAGCTTGCCTTTTCCTAGAATTTTTGTTTTTATGTTAAAGATAGTAAAATCCAGCAAAACAAAACAGAACAAAGCCAGTCAAAACAGTACAGCAAAATTGGTACAAAAATTCAAAGCAGGAGACTAGGAACAACAATAGCTACCATAGTATATCTTGTTAGCTTCACAATAGTTGTCCATTCCACCAGGTGTAGCAGAATCTAACCAAAAACAAAACAATAAAACCAGTCAAAACAATACTGAATAAAGCAAAACAACCAGAACAAAGCAAAATAGAACAATATTGGACTTCAAAGATGCGATACAAGGAAATCCCTCATATTTACTATATTGCATACAGTCATCCTCCCAAGAGATGCTCATACTGATGGCTCCAGGCCAGAAAGGCTTGCTAGTGGATTTCTTGGTCGGTCCTTCCAGTCCCAGCATGGCCGATTCTCTGGGGGCACTGGCTTCTTCCACCCTGAACCTGCATAGCTTGTGCACTTACTGGAAAGGCTGATCATTTCCTAGAATTTTATGTAAGTGAAATTATATAGGTACTTTTTATCTGACTGCTTCTGTGAAATCATCCCTTGTTGCATTAATTAATAATTTGTTTTATTTTTGAGGTTGAATATTGTTCATTGTAAAGATGGGTGTGCATGTTGCTTATCTCTACTCCCAATGGATGGATATTTAGGGGTGTTGGCAATTTTTAATATTCACCACAAGTTGTTATACACAGTTGTCATTGTGTTTCTGTAGACATTTGTCTTTCTGTACAAATCTTTGGACATTTTTATTTTCTTGGCTAAATAGAATTAGTGTGTCAGGGTCATTGATACAGGTATGTGTTTAACTTTTTAGTAACTGCTAATTTTTTTTTCTACAGTGATTATGCCATTTTTCATTTCTATCAGTATATGAAAATTCTATTCCTCTGTAAACTCACAAATAGTTTATATGGTCAGTCTTTTAATTTTAATGTTGTTAATCTTTGGTTTTAATTTGCTTTATCCTGATAATTTATAATGTTAGACATCTCTTCATGTACTTCTTAGTCTTATATACCCTTCTATTTCCCAGGTTAGCCAAACAATCTGTCTCTGAACCACATCTTCAACTCCTTTTGAATGCAGTTTTATGTTGTGACAGGGTCTTACCACGTTGTACAGCTGGCACTGAACTTGTAATCCACCTGCCTCAGCTTCCTGAGTAGCTGTGAACACTACTGGAAGTACCTTGTTTCACAAAGAATGTGTTCACATCTTTTACCAAGAGTTTTAAAAATTAGTTTGTCTTATTGACAAATTGTAAGAGTTCTTTGTATATTCGAAATATATGTCCTTTGCTAGGTATGTATATTCAGACTGTTTTCTGGGGTTGATACTTTTATTTATTTGTTTGTTTGCAGTACTGGATTCTAAGCCCAGGACCTTCACATTGAGCTACATTACTAGTCCTTTTATTTTTATTTTTGAATTTTGAGGCAGAATCTCACTGAGTTGCTCAGACTGAGCTTAAATGTGTGATCCTTTTGCATCAGTGTATTGGGATGTTTTTATTTTGTTAATGGCATGTTTCAAAGAGGATATATTTACTATTTTGAAGTAGTCTTCAGTGTTTATTTAATGATTCTCTATCAGATCTTTCCTGCGTAAGATTTTTGTATTTGTGTGCATATATATTTGTTTTTTCTAGAGGTTTTGTAATTCCAGCTGATTTCTATATTTGATTTTTTTTTTTTTTTTGAAAATGGTCTTTCTATATAGTCCAGGATGCCCTGAAACTCAGTATGCAGCCCAATTTGCTAATCTTCCTGCCTCAGCTTCCTGCGTGGTGGGATTATAGATGCATATACCATACTCCGTTTATATCTAGTCTTAGTTGGACTTTATAAGGGAAGAACATTTTGTAATAAGTAATAGCTTTAGTTAAACGGAGATAGCAGGGAAAGCTTTAGTTTGAGCTCTGCAGGAGTCAGTGAACTGGCAACGTCACATTTGAGCCTACAATTTTTAAAATAAAATTTTAATTACTATTTTCGAGGTGAAGTGATCTTGAAAGTGTCTTGGGATAGTGTTTAAGAAATATAAGTTATCTTTTTCTAGTATGTTTTTTCTCTTAGTCACTTTTCTTGTGAGTAAGACACAATACCTAATACCTACAGTTTAAAAGAGTTTATTTTGGCTCACAGTTTATTAGAGGTTTGAGTTCATTGTAGGCTGGCTGTAAGGCAGGATGCCATGGCGGAGGAGAGCATCTTGTGGCACAGTCATGGGGAAGCAGAGACAGCTCAAAGGAGGAGCTGGAAAGGGAAATTAAACCCTCCCAGGCTACATCCCCAGTGAACTGTCTTTACCTGCCACATCCCACCTCTTAACAGGAAGTCAGCCATATGCCCTGCAATCCAGGCACCTTCCAAAGCTCTCATCTATGATCTCATAAGGCTTTAGGGAGACATCTAGATGTAAACTGTAACGGCTTCTTTCTTCTAAAAGTTTATTTTGAAAGATTAAAAGTTAATGTATCTTTGTTAGATGGATATGTGGTTATCTGTTTTGGGATTTTATATTGGTACTTTTGTGATTTGTCTGTCTTGATATCAATACCATTTTGTCATGATTGGTGTAATTATGATAAGTCGCGGGATTGGTAACAGAGCTCTAATTTTGTTTCTTTATCAAAGTTGTTTAGACTGTTCTGAGTCTTTTTTATTTTACAGAAATGTAAGAATCAAATGTTAATCTGTGTGAAAAATGATGTTGACAGTTTGATAAGGGATTATGTTTTCTGATGTTTATTCATTTTTGGTTTTCTTTTAATTAAAACTAGTGTAAAGAAATAGTCGATTTTCAAAGAACTTCAATAATTTTTTATTTTATTATAATCAGTTATTCTGTAGGGATTTTGCATGAATTCATTCAACTAAAATCAACTCCAAGATATTAGTTCCTTTCCTACTCTAGTTTCTGGATTTCTTTTTAGAAGAAACATCATCTGTGTCAAATCTGTGCCACTGATCACAAGGGGAGGACTGGGAAAAGTTATCCCAAGTTTGTGAATTACAGTGACTAGTATATATTTGTGTGCCTTTTTTGGATGAAAATATTTCTTTATTTAAAATATTCAAAATCTTGAGAAACATTAGATGTGTTTAAATAAACTTTTGTGTTACATTTAAACTTTTAACTAATGTTATAAAATGGATTCTAGGCAATTTAAAGTTACTAAGTTATAAAACAGCATATAAAATTTTTAATGTAGAAATGTATATTGTAATTTTAAAAAATTATTGAAATGTTTTGTTGACAAATTGAAATTTTAAAGAAATGTAGCCTCCAAAATGGTTTTTTAAATTTAACCCAAAACTTTGTTTTCTAGGCGTTCATTGTACCCATGGTTTCAATCGTACTGGTTTCCTCATATGTGCCTTTTTGGTGGAGAAAATGGATTGGAGGTATTTGTTTCTTGTTATAATAGCAGGAGATGTATTTAATAGTTGATTATTGTTTATTGTTACTTTGTTGTTATTTTATTGTTATTTTAGTTGTAGCATTTTATATTGCCAAGTATTAAAACAATTTTTTTATTGTCAGCATGGTTGTGGTACATAATAATTACATTCATTTCACTTTGGGGAATTGTTAACACATAGCGCATGCTGATCACTTTTATTCCTAGTTTCCTCTACCCTTCCTATATTACCAAGTTTTTTGAACTCATAGTATAATTTAAAATGGTTTTCATTTTGGAAATGATTGGTCTTTAGGATACTGTTACCTGGTTGTTTTAGACTAAGAAGCACTTCAATTGAGTGCTTATGAATCCTATAAACTGTGTTTTCATTTATATATCTATGTATTTTCCATATATATCTACATATTTTCCATTGAATTTTTTTTTTTTTTTTTGTAGCAGGGATCAAACTCATGAATTCATGCTTGCCAGGCAGGCGCTTATGCCACTGAGCTAATCCCCAAGCCATATATGTATATATATATGAGCTAAATCACATATATGAGCTAGATCCCCAACCCACAATATGGTATTAATACAAGAGCTAGATCCCCAACCCATAATAGGGTTGGGGATCTAGCTCATATGTGTGTGTGTGTGTGTGTATTTTTTTTTTTTTAAACAGCATTATTGCATGGGTTTTTTTTCCCATAGTGTTGAAGCAGCAATTGCTACTTTTGCCCAAGCCAGGTTCTTTCAATATTTTCTGTTTGTGTTCAGCTTTGGAAATCAGTATTGTTCTTTTCCTTTTAGTGTCTTCTTTATTTATTTGTTTTTATTTTAGCTAGTGTCTTCTTTATTTATTTGTTTTTATTTTTTGAGACAGTTTCACTGTGTAGTCCAGGCTGGCCATAAACTCTCTAGCCCAGGCTGGTCCTGAACTGTCTACAGTCCTCCTGCTTCAGCTTCCCAAATGCTGGGATTATAGGCATGTACCATCATGTCCTGCTTAACTAGTGTCTTTCTATAACTGTAGAATATTAGAACAACTTAGAATGCTACATAAAGGAAGTATTTTAGGGACAAGTTACTCCCCTTAAGCCAATCAGCATGTTTTTATTGAACACTTATTTGTGAAGTATTTTTTTTAGATTCTGAGAGACTGGAACCTTAGTTATCTAAGGTTCCTAAGAGAAGGGGATATTACTAGCTGAATTTTCTCATTGACTGACTGAGGGCGTTGTTTACGTTACAAAGCCTTTCACATAGTAGTTCTTTTCCTGAATACAGTCAACCGAAGTACACATCCAGTTTTACGCTGTGCATTTCACGTACCTTCAGTGGTTCTCTACTGCATGGACTTCCTCGCTCTAGCCGTTCAGATGTTCTGCACAACACTCGTGTGCTGCAGGGCAGACTCAGCCTGTGCTTACTTCTCTCATGGTTTGTACATTCAGTGCTTGGGCTTGTTGGACATTTCTGAAAAACCAACATGCTTTTAATCTTGCTTACATCGCTATTCAGATTTTTTTGACTGCTCTTTTGTTCTTAGAATCAGACCCTACGCTTCAAGACTTTAAATTCTTCTTTCAGGATCCTGCCTGGATCCCCAGGGTGCATTCAAAGCCCTGTACTTTTAGGGTTGAGGAATTACACTATGAGTGTATCTTGTATTAAAACTGCTTCACAATGAATTTGTGCCTTAACAGTTGATTGCCTTTAGGGGTGAAGACTGTGGTTTTCCATTTTATAAACCTGTATTACACTTTATATGATGATTTGAATATAAGTGAGTTTTGATAAATATGTGTAAATGGAGAATAGTGAGGAAATTGCATGGTGTTTTTTTCCATAGTATTGAAGCAGCAGTTGCTACTTTTGCCCAAGCCAGACCACCAGGAATCTATAAGGGTGATTATTTGAAGGAACTTTTCCGTCGTTATGGTGATGTAGAGGAAGCACCACCACCACCTGTATTGCCAGATTGGTGTTTTGAGGATGATGAAGATGAGGATGAGGATGAGGATGTAAAAAAGGAATCAGATCCTGGGTCAAGTGCTTCCTTTGGCAAAAGGAGAAAAGAGCGGTTAAAACTGGTAATGTTTGAAAATATTGTAATATTCTATATCTTCTATTCATAAGCTTATTGGAATTTAGAGAAATGGGATGCTGGCCATATTCCTTAATTAATTAGATTTGTAAGGTTATTTCGTCTGGCTGAAGATTCTTGAAAACTGAGAGTCTGTCTTTTCTAAGTCAAAAATTGCAGTTATGAAAAGTCATCCTAGTAATGTTTTTCTGGGTAAACCAAAGAACTCTTTTTGCGACAGGATTTCTCCATGTAGTCCGTGGCTAGCTAGAACCCAGGCTAGCTCCAGTTCATGATCTTGTCTCAGCCTCTTGAGTGCTAGGATTACAGGCTTGTGCTGCCACCCCCAGCTAAGAATTGTTAGATGTTGAATTCAGATTTTATTATTTCTTTACAGAGTATTGTGAGATTCCAAATAAATACTTGGTGAGAATTGTGCTCATACTTTCCAAAATTGTCACACAATTAAAGGGATTTTACATGTGAATACTGTCTTCCTTTCAATAGGCTGGTATTTTCACACTTTCTCTAAAGTTGAACTGCAAAGTTACTTCATTTCCTTCTAGCTCACCTTGGTAATCTTCTAGAAATAAAAGACTTACCAAATAGTAGGAGTCATTCCATTTCATGAAGAGATAGAGGAAATGTTGAGAAGTAGTACTGGTTGTATTTGTACATACACTGTGGTAGGCCAAAGAGAAAATTTGAGGGCAAGCATAGAGGAAATTATTAGTGAGCTTAGTCATTAAGGTGTAAACTATATTAAGGTTAAGGAATGAATACTTAAGGCATTTGTTAATAGGCAGTGGTTCACAGGCAAGGGCAAAAATGCCTTGCCTGCTTCCAATAAATCATTTGATAATGATTTTAAAGTTCTGTTTTTTTTTTTTTTTTGGTACTGAGGATTGAACTCACAACCTTATGCTTGCCAAGCAGGTGCTTACGCCACTGAGCTAATTCCCCGGCCTAAAGTTCTTTATTTGAAAAACATTTTTTAAAAATTGTTTTCGTGTTTCAGCTTCAAGATCACTGGAGAGTATAAATTGCTTTGAAATATAGAAATACTTTTAAGAGTTATTTATTCTTTTAGTTTAGCTTACTACTATTTTCTGGATATGGGTATTGAAAATACTAAATCAGTTAGAAAAAAAATCACATTCTAAGGAAAGTTGAATAAGAACCTTTGATGTGATTATCCTCGTATGATATAATTTTTTATGGGAACTCAGTTTCTTTGATGTGAGGCCTCACTGTTTAGCTCAGGCAAGCCTTGAGTTTGACAGTCTTGCTTCAGCCTCTGCAGTCCTGAGATTACAGGTGTGCACCAGCATACTGGACTTGAAGTATATTTTATTTTATTTTATTCTTTTAAAATTATCTCAACTTTTTATATATATATGCATAAACATACACATAAGTTGTTTCAGCTTCTCATACTAATGGACAATACAGTATTTACATGTGTCTTAATTATTTCACTAATGAGTATGATGTCAAGTTGCATCCATTTACCTATAAAAGTCTCCAGTTTATCCTTCTTTATGGCTAAGTAGTAAATACCACATCTTTTGTGTTTATTCCTTAGTCAGTGGGCATTTAGGTTGTTTCCAAGATCTGGCTATTACAAATTGTGCTGCTTATAAACATGAGTGCACATATGTCGCTGTGGTCTGATGCTTTTAATTCTTTTGGGAAGATGCCTAATGCCTGGGAACACCTGGGTCGGATGGGACCTCTAGGTCTTTTTGGAAAAGGCTTTAAAAAGACTACATGTTTTATATTGTTAAATACCATTAAGTTCCTGTAGTTGCAAATGAGCTCCAGTAGAATTAAGAGAATAGCCAAGATAGGCATGTTCCTTTAGAGAAAATAAATATGACATTTAAGATAAAATCCCAAGTCTAGCTTTTCCTATTTTGTCAGTTACTGTTTTAAAAATTTTTTACTGTGATCGTGGTTTCACCAGTTTTTATTTGCAGTTCTGTCAGATTTTACTCTTTATATTTTGGATTGCTATTAGTTGGTACATACAAATGTATATAGCTGATTCATATGTATGTGTATGTGTTTGTGTGTGTGTGTGTAGATCTCGAATATGATTTAGTCTTCTTGACTCAATCTCAAAGAATGCTGGCCTTATGAGCGTGCTCCCCCCTTATATTCATACATGATTGTTTTATCTTCATGGTTTTTTTTTATCATTGTGAAATGCTTAATGCTAACATGATTGTGCAAGCTTTTGTATTGTGTTTGCATGGAATATTTCTTACCTTTAAAGTTTTTTTAAGGTGTGTCTGTGTGATGTTGCTGGGATCTGTTTATATATTCAGCAGCTTTTGCCCTGTTATGTGGTCTAGTATTTTTAATATACTGATAAAATCAGATGTAAACTATTTTTTTTTTTAAGGAATTGAACCTGGGGCCTACATGCTAAGCTATGTTTTTGCCCTTTTTTATTTTTTATTTTGAGACACAGTCTCACTAATTTGCTAACTTGCCCAGACTGAGCTCGACCTTTCATTTCTCTTACCTCAGCACTGGCATCATGGGCACATGTTTCATTTTCTTTTCTTGCCTTCTTTAGAAAGTTATTCTTATTTGGTCATTTCAGTGTTGTTGATTACACATTCCTTTATTCATTTTTAAATGAATAATTGCCCACCAATTCAGTGTACATTTTTTGACTTATTAAAGGCTTGTATAAATTAGTACTTTTACTATTTTTAGATAATACAGAAGTCTTAAAGCTTTGGTTTTGTTTACCTTTTCCTCCTTTTTTGGTACTGTATATATATGAAGTTCATTAAAGATTTATTTTTTATAGTATATCACCGTATTTTACATTTTCTGGTACTCTTCTTTTATGAAAATTGTGGTTCCGTCTGGGATAGTTTTCCATTATCTGAAGAGTTCCCTTGGTATTTCTTTAATGTAGGTCACCTCCACTTGTATTTATGTGAAAATATCTTTTTTTTGGACATCTTTTTGAAGGCTGTTTCATGTGAGTATAAAAATTTTAGTTTTGGTAGTTATTTTTTCTTAGCACTTTGAAGACACCATTCCGTAGTGCATTTCTCTTGAGAAATCAGCAGTCATATTTCTTCTTTGAAGGTTTCTTTTCGTTTGACTTTCAATAGTTTTACCATGGTATTTCTACTGGTAGTTTTCTTTGTATTCATCCAGCTTGGTTTTTGTAGGGATTTAAAAATCTTTGACTTGATTTTTTTTTTTTTTAATTAGACAATTCTTGGCTCTTGTTAAAGTATTGTTTTAAATTCTTTATTCTTTGTTGGAACTCCATTTAGTAAAATAGACTTTTTTCTTAAACTGTATCTTAGATTCTTCTTCATATTTTCCATACTTTGGTTTCATTTTTCAGTTTGAATATTTTCTTCTGTCTACCTTTGAGTTTACAAATGGTCTCATTTGCTTTGTCTGAGCTGCTGTTAAAACATCCATTCAATATTTAGTTTTACTTCCGAAATTTTCATTTTATTTAAAAAAAAATGATGTTCAGTTTTTTGCTGAAATTCTTCACGTTGTCATTTAAGTTCTTTTATTTATTTATTTATTGGTTCTGGGAATTGAATCTAGAGCTTTCACTGAGCTACATCTCCAGACCTTTTTATTTATTTTTTATTTTTCACTAAGTTGCCTAGTCTGGGCTTGATCTTTCTGTTAATTAATGGCGAGTAAGGAAACACCAGCAACTGCGACAGTGGAACAGACTAAATTTAATTCCTTCTTTGTACAAGCAGGCTGAAATCGAAGTCCTAACAATGAATATCTGGGGGGGAGGCTAAGTATATATAGGGTTTAGGATTGGAGGTCATATTTCAAGGAATCCGGATGTTCTGTTTGAGGTCAAAACTGCAAATCTGATAAGCACAGGTGTGCATATAAAGCTGGTCTTCCTGTGCCAGGGAGACTGCAGGTCCAGGCCTACATTTCTTTATGGCCATCAGTTCTTATTTGCTGAGGGCAACACAGGCTCCTTTTTTTTTTTTTTTTCCCCCAAGGCAGCATGTTTTATTGGGAAGATCTTTCTTAGGTCAGGTCTGACACCTTCTGCCTCAGCCTTTGAAGACCTGGTTATAGGCATGTGCTACCATGCTTGGCGTTCTAAGTTCTTGAACATTTTTATCTCATTTTAAGGTGTGTGTGAGGTAATTAATGTGGATATCTTCTTAGTTTCTTTTAGTTTTTAATGTCCTTTTGATTTTGTGTCATTTGTAGCTCTTACTCTAGTATTTTGGTTGACTTAGATATTAGACATTATTTATTAATAATGGGAATAATCTGAGGCTCTGATCATGTTGTTTTCCTTTACAAAGGATTTGCTTTTGTTGCTGTACAGGATCTGAGCAGAACATAACTCAGTCAAGAATTGAACTGTTCAGACTCTGGACTTTAGTTTGAAAGGGAACTGGACTGTTTTTCATGTATTCTTATTTCTAGAGCTTCTTAGACTATCGCGTCTATTTATTTATTTATTTGCTTTACTCTTTCTTTCTTTGTTTTTTTGTCTTTTTAAGACAGGGTCTCAGTGTGCAAGTTCAGGCTGACCTTGGGCCCACTTTGTAGGCCAGACTGGTCTCGAACTTGCAGTGATCCGGCCTCAGCCTCCTGAGTGCTGGGATTCAAGAGTGTGCCACCATGCCTGGCTTTACTTTGTATTTTTGAAATAGCGCCTCTGGAGGAAAAATACCTCCCTGGAACTTTGTTTTCCATCAGTTCTTGGCTCTTCAAATCCTTACTACTTTTCTAATTTTTTGATTGTCTAAGCAGGTACTTTATTCTGCATTTTGTCCAGCTTTTTCATGTATAAAATTAGTCTAAATAAATTAGATTGCCATTGCCAAAACCAAAATCTTCCATTTTAGTGAAAGCAATTAGGGTTGTTTTCTGACACTAACAAGATGGTAATTTTTTTTTTTTTTAATTTGGTACTGGGAATCAAACTAGAACTTTGCGCTTGCCAGACAGACACTTCTGCTGCTGAGCTAT